CCCAGTCCAGGGTGATGTATTAAAATATTTTACCTTAGACTTAACAATTATGACTGGTTATATATAGGCTCCTAAAACAAAACATGGTTTCATCAGTCTGAAAATTTCTCAAAAGAATTGTTTCCTACAAGCTGCTGCCTAGAAAAAATTAGAAAAAAAAAAGTTGTCTTACTGCTGCACCTACAGCAGACACCAATTATTTAAAATAAACCAAGATGGCCTTTATCCCCAGAGGGACCGAAAAATCTTTTGTTTTTTGAGGCTCACCCAGAAGTGTTCAGGAATCATTCCTGCTAGGGACTAAACCCAGGCCTACCGCATGCAATGCAAGCCCCCTACACACAGTTCTGTATCTATCCCCAGAAATCGAAGTTTTGAGCAGTCCACTTTTCTGTTTTTGAAGGAGTTACGATTCGTCCAAAATGCTCACTGCGTATCTTCTTAAAGCCCTAAAGTTCATTTTAGTTCTAGGAAGAACTGAGAACAAATGGTTTTCAACTCCTGTTTTACAGTTAGGACATATTCTCTGACACATTCCAGTAGATTACCCCATGTTGGAAATCCATTTGACTAACTAGACTGTCTGGGCACTGTTTCAAATGATGCTGAACCTTTTACTCTCACATAATAGGTATCATAGTTAGATCCCCACAATCCCATATGGTCCCCCATGCACCATCAGGTTCAATTCCTGAGTGCAGAACCAGAAGTAACCCATGAGCATTGCTGGGTGTAACTCAAAAAGCCAAAACAAAAAAACTGAAAACCATTAACCAGTGACCACGATTACTTTCCATTTGGGGTATATAATCCAGCAGTGCTCAGGAGCTACTCCTAGTGGTGCTCAAGGGACCATGCAGCACCAAGGGAAGGAATTCAGTCTTCCCACAGGCAAAGCCCCTACTGCAATTATTTTTAATTCCTAGTAAGAGGACCAGTGCTCAGATTAGTCCTCAGGTCCAAAAACGGCTGAAAAACTTCGACTTGCAGTATTCCTATCAAAACCGATACTTTTCAGTCTTTTTCTGACCATGGGTCCCTTTTCTGTCGTCCACTGTACTACTGGCTGGGTGGCTCTCTGCACCCCATGTATGCAATTTTCTCCTGTGGCTTCCTAACTTGAGGCCTACGAGATGCCTGGTTGAGTAACACTACTGTAAACTAGAGATGGGGTATTTTTTCGTTACATTAGTTTTTTGGCCACACCCAGGGGCACTCAGGAATCACTCCTGATGGGCTCAGAGCACCACATACGTTGCCAAGGATCAAAGCCAAGTCGGCTGCTTGCAAGGCAAGTGCCCTAACCGCTGTACTGTATCACTCCGGCCCATGGACATAGATAGTGCCACACCTGGCAGTGCTCGTGGGACCACTTGTTGTACCTGGGATTGAACTGGGTTTGGTCACATGCAAGGCAAGTACCATATCCCCTGTACTATTTCTCCAATCATGCCACAGTATATTTATAGCATCACTCTCAGGTCACACAATACAAGCAGAAGGGTCACAGGCAGCAGACCAGACCCATAGATGGTGTCGTTCCTGTCATGTTACCAGGGCCAGATCACAAGATTTCACTGTACATGACCCACAGGTGCACCATTCTTCACTTATTAGTCTTAAATAGTAGCAGTGAGAGACATTAATAGTCTTTGATGTGGTTTGAAGTACGTAAGTTTAAAGTTTCTAAGCCACCTCTCCTGGTATAAATGCTAGGTCATTCTGAGACCAGATTAAGAAAATACTAATACAAAGAGGTAGTACTATGTTGGTAGAGTTTCAGAAGTTAAATCCCATATAAAAGAAATGAAGGATCTAGAGCAAGTTACTTAACCTTGCTAAGCCTTGTCATTAGTAGAACAGAGCAATTTCTAAGACACTTATTTAGATGGAAACTTAAGTTAAAACGCTGAAAATTGTGATCAATGACTCCTTAAAACTATAGGTTCAAGAAAAGACTAAAGTATCTTAGAAAACCTGGACTTGCTTAGAAAATCACTAACAAAGATCTCAAACTTTAGGGCCTTCTTTAAGACAAATCTCATTCCATAAAAAATGGGAGATACAGGCGTCTGAGAGAGAGCTAAATGGAAATAATGTGAAGGAGCTTGGGAGACTTTTTAAATAGTTTTTAAAAACCTAGAATGATCTGAGGATCTATCACTGTTATAAGACAAAACAGCAATCTCAATTTAAAGCTCAAAACAGATATTGAAGAGCTTCAGAAAATGCCCTGAAGGCTTCATTAACCAAGTTAAGTGTTGGGAATGGTCTCATTCACAGTTCCCTGCAAAAAAAAAAAAAAAAAAAAAACCCCACAAAAAAAACTAAACCGAATCTTGACATTATATTAAATAGGAACAGTGAATAAGGCACAAAATATAGGTGACTGTTAGGCCACCAGTGTCATTTTTTTGTTTTTTTTTTTTGTTTTTAACTATAAAAATAAACTAAGTAACTAATGAAATAACAAAATAAAAGTTTATTTTATTAGAATTAGGAATGTTCTTTCCCTCTGGGCAACCTGAACAGTCCAGTTACAATGAAAATCTATGAACAGTTATTTCCACAGCACAGGGTGCTCTATGCACAAAATTACAGGGTTAGGAGCATTTAATCAATTACCAATCTGATTGTCTCACCAACCCACCCCCTCCCATCCCCAAGTGCTCTATAGCAGGATTTGTAGCTAAAAGAATTTGTTACATCAAGTTCTTTTTACCCCCTCTTTTGTACTAAATTCCAGTTCCTAACCAAGGCTGATCTACATTTTACACTGCAGAGTCAACCAATTCAAATCAAGTCAGTCAATTTTGGAACTGTTATATATGTGTGTATGTATACACATGTGCATTTAATATATTTATTTAAACACACATAAAACACATACAATCTGGGTTGCAGCAAATTATACAGAATTTAGTCTGATACTGTATGCTACTTAATTTTACCACTGTAGTATATCCTGAGCTTTGGATCAAAATTTTATTGTAAATCAGTGAAAGTCCCTCTACTGCTTAATGAATTGTTCAAATGAAGCATGCACTTTTCAAAAGACAATGTATCTGCCTTCAAGAAGACAGAATAGACCCCGGTGCTTACTGAGAAGAAAGCCCTCTGATAGAAAGACATAGGTAAGTGAAACAGGGAAGCTATGGTATGGCTTGCCAATACCAAGTTTGGGTCACTGAGACTTTTAACAAAGGAATTCAGTCAAATATGGAGATAGCTATTAAAAGCATAAAGAGGTCAGTTTACCTTAACTCGTTTGAATTAGGGAATGCACCTGCAATGGCAATCCATTCAGGTAATGTGCCAACACTAAAACTAAAAAGCACTAAAAAGCACTGTTTCTCTACAGGTAGGGCTGATACTATGAAATGCACACACTGTTTTTGGATATCTGTCACAAGGGGAGAGTGTAAAGAGGATCTGTGACACTCAAATCTAGATACGGCAAAGTTAACTGGTAAGGTATTTTAAAAACACCACACATACACGGAACATCTTAAGGGAGCCACATAATATAGAGATAGCAACTCTGGCTGTTTTCAAGATTACCAGGGAAAGGAACTTATTTATGCTTTCTTAAAAAAAAAAGTTTTATTAAATGTCTTTTAAGTTTGATACAATCACTTAAAATAAAGTCAAAAGGATGAAAAGGTTGGGAAGAGAAAAGAAAATGGAAGAAGCAGACACTGAGTTCAGATTTGCACCTGAGGTAAAAAGGGAAGGAAGAAAAGGTACAGATAAAAGTTGATCCTAAAGCAATAAGTGGTTTAAGGAAGCAGCATAATATACTCAGCAAACACTCACTGATTCCAGATGGGAAAAGTATAGTTGCAAGTACATCTCATGTAACAACCTTTTCTAAAAGGAAAAGTAGGGTTGATTCAGCAAAGCCTAACTTAGGCAAAAGGCCAGAGGAAAGTGAATCTACTTCCCAATGGAGTAATAAGATGTACAATGCAAGAGCAGACGAAGCTGCTTCATAAATGGTAAACACTTCCTAGGCACAAGACATTTAAAGGAAGACAAAGAGGTCCTCAGTCAAAGCCGGTATTGATTATTAAGAACTCAATCTAGTTGCCTAGTTCTTTTTTGCGCTCCTGTATAAAACTGACAGATTTAGGGATGCTGACCCGTTGAAAAATGCCACGACCAGAATGGCCTAAACAGACATATGATTAATAAAACCACCACCATCCTTTACTTTTAACATAGCTCTTAGTAGAAATTTCATAAAAATGGACATCACAGCTAAAATGCATTAACTCTATCTGCTGACAATATAAAAGAAGCAAACTCAGTGCTTTTACTTTAAATGCACTAGATGAGAATGTCGCGCTCTAGGGGTGTTTGCCTCCAAATTGAACCCACAGTAACACACACAAGCAATTTCAATAACCGCCATTTGAAACTCACAGTCTGGAACTAAGTGAATGGCTATTTATTTATAGTTAAAGCAAAAACATTCTATTGGACACCCTCACATAAAGAAGGGGTGAGAGAAGAGCCATAAACTAAAACCTCGAAGGCTCAAAAGCAGCAATTAAGGGGAGGGACAAAAACTGGGAAAGTTTTCGCTGATGTGATAGGGATCTTAGGATCCTTCTGTCCCTGCACATGACGTGGGAACAAAAAAACAAAAAGGCTTCAAGAGATTTGTGAGGCCATGGAGCGGGTGAGACTGGGGACTAGGTCGTTCTTGAACTGTATGTAGCAACCAAGCTCCCTGTTGCAGCAATTCCTATCAGGCCACGGGATTCAGCCAAAGCTTGTCCTCCTTGTCCCCGATTAAGAGCTGGGATTTCAAGGCATGAGGCTCATAGCCAACAACAAACATATCAAAACCAAAAAGGGCAAAATAATCTCAGGAAAGGGAAATCAAAGAGCTTGAATTAAGTCTTCCAGAGGTGCTAAACCAACACGCCTCTTATTCCAACCCTCAACCCTGGAAAGATAAAGCAAACTGAAAGAAAATGCACAGCAAATAGACATAATCTTGAAGATTTTTAAAGAATAAATATTTTTTTTGTAATTAAACATTATGCAAACACGTGCCACGCTTGCTTTGTCCATGCATATGCGCTATATACAATTTTGAAAAATACTGTGTTGTCTTCTTGTTTAAAAGTCATATACAAAGAATTTTTGTTTGTTTAATCCTCTTACTGTCTACCCCACTTCCCACCCCAAGAATTTTCTTTACAAGGAACTATCATCATTCACTCATGACCATGGGGTATGAGAGAAAGTGTCAGTTTGTATGTAGGGGTGGATTTGTATGTGTAGGGAAGGAAGGGGAAGAGATTTTTACCAAAGTACAACAAAATGGCTGGTTTGGACATGAAAAGCAGTGTCAAGGAGCTGTTTCAAATCTTAACTGTACTACATTCAGGAAACAGAAAAAGAAAAAAGGAGTCAGCTTTGAGAATGAAGCTACGTTACAAGTTAAAGTTGGAGGGCTTTTAAGTGTGTCTGTCACACTTCTGTTGGCGGCCTAGAATACTGTTGTACAATGGTTTATCTACCTTTTTTTTTTATTACAATATAATTTACTTAAACTTTCCGTTAACAAAACAGAATTCTGGTACTACAGACCAGCGGTGTCAGAATAGGCTTAGGGCCTCCTGTTTGTGTTTGTTTTGTTTTGTTTGCTTTAATTGCATGAGCACTCTAGATGGTAAAGGTTTCAGAGTTCATTTTATGCAGGGGCCATTCTCAGTCCTCAATGTACTCCCACAGATCTTTTTCATAGCCTTCATGCACATGCTGTAACAAAACCCTTCGTCGACTCTCACAGTATCTGTAAAAAGAGAGAGAGAGAGAAGAGAGAGAAAGGGATTCACTTATTTTTATTTATTTATTCTTTGGCATTTGGTGGGGGTCACACCTGGCTGTTACTCAGGATTATTCGTGGCTAGTTGCTGAGGGGTTACTCAGTGCTGGGGGGATCAAACCTGGGGACTTTGCATGGACTTATCTTCCTGTAATATCTAACCAACCTATCATTTATTTTCATTTTGAAAATTTAGAGAACCACATGTGATCAGGGGGACTGAACCAGAGTCAGCCACGTACACAGCAGTGCCTTAACCAGCATACTTTCTCTCTGGCTCCCGCCATCACTACTCTTTAAAGGCTTCCCTACAATCTCTTCATACTTGGAAAAAAGCACCTGCACTATTTCTGCAGGCTCCAAGCACTTGTTTTTTAATAAGAACCTTCTCTTATCTAAACAACATTCTAATTATATGTGAAAAATATGAAAGTCATCATTCCCAGTTTTGAGAATTCTAAGGCAATTAAGCATTAGTAATTTCTAAGGACCGTAGAAATCACCTGATTCAACCCTGTTATTTTACATATAGGCCAACAGTTTCAGAAAAAGGAAGTCTCAAGCAGGGGTCATTTATTCTGTAGCACTACAGCACTGTCCTCCCATGGTTCACTGATTTGCTCGAGCAATTAACGTCTCCACTGTGAGATTTGTTTTTACTGTTTTTGTCATACTGAATATGCCACGGGGAGCTTGCCAGGCTCTGCCGTACTAGAGGGATACTCTCAGTAGCTGGCTGGGTTCTCCAAGGAGAGAGGAATCGAACCCGGATCGGCCGCATGCAAGGCAAACGCACTACCCACTGTACTATCGCTCCAGCCCGATTTATTCTAATTTATAAAACATAAATACATAGGTATTTATCGTAAGTACAATTCGTTGGTGTCAATTGTCTAAGAGAAATGGAACTTCTTTTGATAAGTAAATCTTCTGGATTTTTAGATTCCTGAAATTTTTTAACTGTTAAAAAGATAACAGGATGAAATGGCATAGTGGGTAGGATGTTTGCCTTGCATATCACTGACCTGGGTTCAATGATCTGAATCCCATATGGTCCCATGAGCATGGTCAGGAGTGATCTCTGAGTGCAGAGGCAAGAATAAGCCCTGAGCATAGCTAGGTGTAGCCTCCAAACCAAAACAAGATAATAGCAGCTGACAAGAAAAAACTTTGGAGGAAAATGAGAACTCTTGAGTATTTGCTTTCGGTTCAGAAAACAATTATTTTGCATCCTTAGCTTAGGAGGTAAGGTGGATCTATAAATACATGAATCTTCATGACAGAGGAAATCTCTAACGAAAAAAAGTGGTGGTGGGGGGGGGGAGCAGCAGAGAGTAAAGCAGGCAGTCTTGTACATGGGTAACCTGGATTCTAATTTAGACACACATGATCCTCTAAGCACAGCAAGGAGTGATCCCACCCAAGAAGGGAGGGGGTAAGAGAGGGCATGGAGATATGGTTTATGAAGAGCATGCCATGGGGAATAGTCAAGTGGGTAAGAGTTTGCCTTGCAATGCATGCTACTGGGTTCGATCCCCATCACTGAAATATGGTCCCCTGAACCCTGTCAGGAGTGATCCCTGAGTGCAGCAAGAATTAAGTCCTGAGCACAGGCATGTATGACGCGCCCCCCCCCCCCCCCCCGCCAAAATAAAGTGTGTGCAATCTGAGATTGGCCTCTGACACCACTAAGAATAAAACAAAGTAAAAGAAAAGCTAACACAATCTGATTTCTACAAGTTTGGGGAGCTTACTTGACAATAGCCTTGATGCCAGGACAGGACCGGCATTCTATTCTCACCCTTATCCTAATGGTCACTTGTCCTTTTATGGCCCTTTTCATCTTGCAGGCAGCTAAAGCAAAATCAGCCAGTGGGATAAATGGCTGATTCCTTTGCTATGCATACTTAGGATACTTATCTGCAACTTTTTGCCCAAAAGAAGGAAGTAAACACATATGAAACATAGCAGACGTTCATTTACTGAACACACTAAACCCAAGGTTCTCTATCACCTAACTATACTCTCTGCTAGTACAGACTTGATCAGTACCAGAAGAAATTTTGTTCAGTTCCCTGTAAGGAAAACAACACAAAACCCCCAAAAAACTTACCTGTACTTATCTTGTACTTTCTGTTTTATATCCTGCAGAGAATCTTGGGATATATCTCGTTCAAGGTAGCCCGAAAGCACCTCTGTGGCATTCTCTAGATCTGCTTGGTTATTCTGCAAGAGGAAGAATACATAGTAAATTCTTGCTGCAAAGGAGAGAGAAAAGAAAAACCACCTCATCCATATGCTTGCTTCCAGAGATTGCCAAAATTGAGTCTGTAATTTTCACAAGTGGTGTAATTGTGCCAATTAAAAACTCTTCATTGCTTTCATTTCTAGCAACTTCCTCTCAAATATTAAGAATAACACAAATATTTACTCATTCCTCCAGGTCAGTTTTAGAGTACTTAAGACTTTAAAAATAAAGTATTTTGGAGTTGTCTTATTGAGACTTGCTATCTACTAAAGCTCAAAAGAAAATGAGGGGGAAAATACAATGCCATTCTAGTTTATATTTGTCATACTATTTCTTATAAGAAAATCCCATATGAAGTATTAAAATTTTCCTCTTTATTAATATGGCTAGTTCTGTTCATCTGAACAACCACCTGATACACTGTTACTATTTCATCACCTATGAAAATCAATGAAAGCATGGAAGCATTAATTCTATTTTCGTTTTTAAGAACTGGAGGTCAAATGCAGGGCCTCACATATGCAAGGCATGCACTCGACCATAAAGCTAAATCCCTCAGACAATGGAACAACTTCATTTATTTTCTGGATTCCTCACAGCAGTGTGAGTGCTGGGGATCAGAACTGGACCTCCTGCACAGAAAGCATAGCTTCAGCCCTCTGAGACATCTCCCTAACCCACCATGCATCAAATTTAAATGAACACCTTGAGAAACCTTTACTACTAAAATCCCCCTTTAGTCATTAATATTCTACTCTAGGAAACCATATTATTGTCTACAGGCTTTGTCTGGATAAAAGGTTTTACTGAGAATTTCAAATGTACCACATGCACGGTACATGGATACTCTCCCTTAAACCTAACATGCTCAAAAGATATTAACTTCATTTACAAAATGATACAAGGGCTGGAGCAATAGTACAAGCAGACAGGGTGCTCGCCTTGCACGTGGCCAACTAGGTTCAATCCCGAGTATCCTATATGGTCCTAAGCCCACGAGGACCTGAGCAAAGAGCCGGAAATAAGCCCTGAGCACCGGCAGGTATGGATTCCAAATATATAAAAATACATTTAATATAAAGTCTAAATATATAATATAAAGTTACAACAATATAAAGAAACAGAGGGCTGGAGCAATAGCACAGCTGGTAGGACGTTTGCCTTGTGCACGGCCAACCCGGGTTCGATTCCCAGCATCCTATATGGTCCCCTGAGCACCGCCAGGAGTGATTCCTGAGTGCAGAGCCAGGAGTAACCCCTGTGCATCGCCAGGTGTGACCGAAAAAGCCAAAAAATAAAAAAAAATTAAAAAAAAAAAGAAATAGATATACACTGCTACTACAGCAGACAGGGTGCTGGCGTGGGTTCAATCCTTGGCATCTCATATGATCCCCTGAACCCTACCAGGAGTGATCCCTGAGTACAACGGTAGGAATAAGCCCTGAGGCACCATGGGGTAGGATCCCCTCACCCCCCTCCACCTGCACAAAGAGAGAGAAAGAGAGAGAGCATGCGTATGCGCTAAATAATCTGCTAAAATCAACAGAGCTAAAAGAGATCAAGTCAAGATTCACATTCAAGGCTAACTCGGAGCCTTCAGTACATATTTACCAAAGACCTAGAAGTCCTACAATACAAAGGTAGCATCAGTCGACTATTCCTACCTCAAAGATAATGGACTGGTTATTCTTTTTGAGGTAGAAAGCGAAGACATAAGTGTACATGAGTGTGGCACGACACTGGCAGAGTACATCCACTGCTTTCTTCAGAAACTGCACCTCAATCCAGGACATGTTGTGCTGCTGCATCTCCTCCATTTTCTGCTTCACCTGAGCATACAGTTTGTGCTCAAAGCGTAGACTCTGCATGTGGTTCATATAGCGATTACAGTAGAACAGGTATCTCTGCAGGGCTGCCCTAGACCGCTGTCCATTGAGAAAAAGGAAGATCATAATATAAGAATGAATATACTATGTAAACACATTCTGAAGACAATCAGCTTAGCAACTCATCTCCCAACAATCAAGTGTTGTCAAATTCCCTATCAAAACTTGCCAAATTTCCACAAGAAGAAAAGTCAAAGTCATCACGATACTAAAAGGCTTGATTTAATATAAACAGCAATTTGGAAAAGTGTCTTATTAAAAGCACTCTCAAATTCAACATGAAATAAAACCCATTATCACCATCACTTTCTAATCAAATGCCAGAATCTGAACTGAGAAGTATGGACACACCCACTTTGAGGAAAGAAAAGTCTTAACCAAATCCGACTGCTAGGATAAAAACTCTGACCTGCAAGTCAAATCCAGCCTGTTTCAGTAAACAACTTTACTTGCAACACTCTTACTCATTTAAAGTGTATGGCTGATTTAACATTTTAAGAGGAAAGGCAGAATTGAGTGGCAGTAAGCTTAAAGTATGTAATAATTAGTCCTTCAGGGATAAAGTGCTAATTTCTAGTTTACAAAATAAAAAAAAAAATTCAAATGTTTCCCAACTGATATGCCTGAGATGGTTATCTCTCTGCATCATCATCTTTCCAAGGCTAAAAGTTAGTTTTTCTGGACTGTATGTCAATCTTGTAGTACTTTCAATTTAATTAATTTTTTGTTCTTCAGGCTACACACTGCAGAGCTCAGGAATTATTCCTGATGGGGCTCGGAGGAACATAGGTAGTTCTGGGGGTAGAACCTGGGTGAGCCGCATGCAAGGCAAGTACCCTCCCTGCTATACTATTGCTCCAGCCCCTCTTGTAGTACCTTTTAATATTGCAATTCCCTTCTTATGAAGGGTGTAGTATTGGAACACTATATGCATGAAATCCTATCATTAAGATAAATCATGGTACCTCAAACAAAAATTTTAAAGAGAATACCTACTTTGGTAAATGGTAAGCCAGAGTTAAAAAGTAGGAGAAATGAGAAAGAAAAAAGACACCAGAAGGAAATGTGAAGATGAGCCCCATTCTGTGAGGAATGACTCCCATCAACAAACTCAAGTGGGGATTTCAAACTGAGTTAATTAAACCACATTCTAGTGTGAACCATCAGTAGTACAATCCTGTGACAATATGTTACAAAAGAGAAATCTGTTCCTGTATACACGCACCCAGAGGCTTATAAGGCTAGTTTAATTAATTTTTTTTTCTCTTTTTGGGTCACACTCGGCAATGCACAGGGGGTTACTCCTGGCTCTGCACTCAGAAATTACTCCTGGCAGTGCTTGTGGGACCATATGGGATGCTGGGAATCGAACCTGGGAAGGCCGCATGCAAGGCAAACGCCCTACCCACTGTGCTATTGCTCCAGCCCTGCTAGTTTAATTACTTTTAAAAAAATACCATACCCAGCAGTGCTACTCAAGCATTACTTCTGACTCTGCACATAGGAATTACTCATGGTGCGCTCCAGGGAATTATATGGGATGCTGGAGATCAAATCCAGGTTAGCTGCACGCAAAGCAAGCACCCTATCTGCTGTACCAATATAGAGCAATGGTATACTATAGTGTTGTTGGAGATTGAAGAGTATACCAATGCCCTATCTCCAAGCCCATAAAACTAGTTTAGTGCAGTAGTTGTGGGCCACAAAATGATGTATTACAGGATCTCAACTCTAGATAGTAGAAACTGGCATAGAAGCTATATAAAATAACCCACCCCCGGCTGTGGATTCCAGAAAGTGATTCTACCAGCACCCAAACAATAAACAGGTGAGTCCAAGAATAACTAAAATAATTTATCTGGCTAGTCATAGCTGACTATTTCCCCCCATCCCCCAAACCCCCGGTCACTTTTTGTTCTTTACTTTTTTACTGAATCACTGAGACATACCCTTACAAAGCTGTTTATGATTGGACTGTAGTCATAGAATATTCCAACACCCATCATTCCACCCATGCACATTTCTCAGCACCAGTGTCTCCAGATTCCTCCTATCATCCCCTATCCCCCACTCCCTGCCTGCCTCTATGGCAGGCATGCTCATGGTCTCTTGCTCTCACTCTCTCTGCCTGCCCCTCACCCTTCCTCCCTCCGCTTTTGGGCATTGTGGTTTGCAATATTGATACTGACAGGTTAACAAGAATATCCCCTCACCTTTTAACACTCAGATCTTGTTCAGTGTGATCATGCTACTTTTAAAATTTTTATTTTTCATTCAGGATAAATGAAAATGTAAAATCCAGTGTAGAAGTTAGAAAAAAAACAATATAGCTTAAGAGGAAAAGGAATCTTTCTCTTTTGACTAAGAAACACGATCAAATAGTACAAAGGATAGTAACAGTACAGAGGATAGTACAAAGTCCAGCGTGCGACAGTGACCGATTCAAGTCCCTGGCACAATGTATGAACACAGTCAGGATTACTCCTGAGCATGGAGTCAGGATAGTACCTGAGCACTTCTGGGTTTGGCCCAAAAGTAAAATAACAAAAGAACCCCCCCCCCAAAAAAGAAAAGTTTCTGGGGAGTGGTGACACCAGCAAGTCAACCGGTACCCGCAGGGTGAGTACATCAGCAGCCTGAAGATGCCTTCAGGCTTCCTGAGATGGCAAAATTGCTGCTGTGCCTCTCACCAGACCCCAACAACTTGGGAACAAGTCAAAAGTACGTGGGAGTCATGCCCACAAACCACCTTCAGCTCAGCTTTACAAGCTCATTAATCGGCTTCAGAGTGCTTCAGAGACACATGAATAAATCTCAAAAAAGATCAAAAGCCGAGTTAATCTTGGACCCAAGCATGGCTGAACAGACCAGATCAGATGGGGACAGGTCAGCGTGGTGCCTGCCCAGTGAGATCCCCTGGCAGCCATTGCTCCCACAATCCAAAATCACTGCCATCGCCCTGGCCAGAATCCACTGACTCAGGTCGGATCTCATGGAGATATTATCTATTGAAAATTCAGATATGCAGGTTTTTTTGACTGAAAATCCCCAGGCTTTCTCGGAGTAGAAATGGGCTACTCCCCCCACTTCCCTATACTGGAACAATGGCAGTCTACCCCATGAACCAACCCCAGCGCCACCATGTAAGCTCCTCAACAGGCTTTGCTTCAGAGACCCATATATAAATCTCAAAAGAGATCAAAAGCTGCAGTTATTCTTGCACCTGTGCAAGGCTGAGGTAAATCAGAAGTAAATAAATCCCAGACTGAGGTAAATCAGAGGGGTGGTGGTGGGTGAGGGTCAGCCTGGTGCCTGCCCAAGCAGAGCCCCCTGAAGCGACTTGCTTCTACAATCCCAAATCGCTGCCACGCTCCTAAGCCAAACTCCATCTCTCAGGATGAATCTCACTGAGATATAATCTTATGATATAAACTGAAAATCTGGGTATGTGGGTTTTGTAACTGAAATCTCCAGGCTCTCTTGAGGGGGGAGGGGGGTGTCACGATGGGCTACCTTCCCACACCTCCCTGTACTTCTGGAAGCCTCAGCAGTCACGCTCACACCCCAAACATGCCACCCAGTTAAAAAGCTACTCCAGCCTTACTGTCCCGATAAACAGACTGGATGCCCTGAACAAACACCATGACCTCTTAGCGCCTGCAATGCGAACCATAATGTTCAAAAGGAGAGCAAGAAAGGGCAGCAGCTGCCACGGAGGCAAGCTGGGCCGGGAGCTGGCAGACGTGGGAGGAAAAAGGGAGATACTGGTGGTAGGAAATGTACAGTGGTGGAGGGATGGGTGTTGGACCATTGTATGACTGAAACCCAATCGTGAACGGCTTTGTAGTAGTCTATTGAATAAACAAACAAACAAAAACACCTCTTTTTTTTAAACATTTTCGGTTTTTGTTTTGGTCATACCTGGAGGTCTCTGTAGACCATGTGGTACTAGGGACTGTGGCCTGCAGCATGTGCAGAATGCTCTCAGACCTTTGAGTTAGCTCTCCCTGATCCCAAAAAAGTATAATGAATTTTTAAAAAATTATAGTTTCTCTTCAGTGGAATTTAAGACAATCATGACTGCTTAAAACAGAAGACGACCATAGAAAGAAAGGACAAAAATTAAAGAAACAATGGAAGGAGAGTCAGCGAGAAGCTAAGATAAATAAAAAAACCTGGTAGTACAGTCGAGTTCAAATGGGAAGTTGGAGAACACATGACTGTCACTGCAGAACTTCTAAAAGACAATCACATGATAGAGAGGGTATGCATGTGAAGATACAAGGGATACGGAACTTGTATGGCGTGGGGCCAACCCCAGCTTGAATCTTCAGTACCAAATAATGAGTCACTCCTATGAACTTACCAGGAACATTGCCGATACCTCAAAAGCAAACAGAGGGCATCTGAATGCCAGGCATGTGCTCTGGTTCTTTGAGCTATCTCCTGGTTTTAGATCACAAAATTTTAAAGCATTTAAATATAGTAGGAAAATCTAGAGGGAAAAAAGTGAAGTCTGGATTGCCAGAAAGCAACTTAACTAAAAACTGAATTCTTATTTTAGGTACTTCATTTTTGAAATGGCACCAAGCAATATTTAACTATGCCAATATAACTGGAAAAACAAATGATCAAAACATACTAATAATAAATTTCAGTCAAACTAAGATGTATAGTAGAAATGATAGAAAATTGATGGGAAAACGTGGCATGATGTATCTGTAAAATTCCAACTTTGAGTTTCAGTGATTCTGTACTTTTCTTGCCTTGGTCATTTGGTTGTTAAAGCGTTTACAGTTTACAATGAGAGAGACTGTACAGAGGGTAGGGTGCTTGCTTGCACGTGGTCAACATGGATTTGATCCCTGTCATCCCTTATTTGAACCCCAAGCCCACTAGGAGTAATTCTTTAGTGCAGAACTAGGAGTAACCTCTAAGTACTATGGAGTGTGAAACCTCCCCAGAAAAATATTTTAAAAAGGAAAAAACAGAGTTTAGTTAGCACTGCACTGTCTTCCCGTTGTTTATCGATTTGCTCAAGCAGGCACCAGTGAAACTTGTTACTGATTTTGGCATACAGAATATGTCACGGGGAGCTTGCCAGGCTTTTGCTGTGTGGGTGAGATACTCTCGATAGCTTGCCGGCCTCTCCAAGAGGGGCTGAGCAATCAAACCCAGGTCAGCCGTGTGCAAGACATGCCCTACCCGCTGTGCTATCTTTCCAGCCCTTAGCTTTATCATTTATATATTTGTTACACTGCAGTTAATGCAACTTATTTACTTCTAAGTCACACTGAGCTATCTGTTCTCAGGATTCATGTGCTTGGTGCTCTATCTACAGTGCCAAGTATTGAACCAGGGTCAGCCACAGGTCAGGCAAATGCATTCTCCTCTGTGCTATCTTTCTGGTTTAAAACTAATGTAAAATTCACATTAATAATTTGTTCTTTCCCTTAAAAAAAACAATCCCCAAAAATGGAAAGTTTGTAAAATATCATGTATCATTTAAAACAACAAAATATAAGATTCAATTTTTAATAATAATTTAAAAAACAATAAAACATTAAATTATGTAGTATTTTGTTGATGGCTATTTCTTTTTAAAATTTGTCTGGGGACCACACCTGGTGGTTGGTGATCAGGGGACCACATGGGGTGCCAGGGATCTATAGCCTGGCTTGGCCATGCATGAGGCACAAGCACCCTACCCACTGTACTGTCGTTCTGGCCCTGTATATAGTTATTTCTAATTAGTAGCAATTCTATAAAGTATGCTTAAATAAATGAAGTGCATTTTATAAAGTAAGCTCAAGTGGATGGAGCTCATGCTTTGCATGGGGAATACCAGATTGCCTTTTTTTCCTTTTTGGGGGGGTTTTGTATCAAACTCTGGCATAGCACACCAAGACTGATTCCTGGCAACAAATGGACCCTAGTACATCTCCCCCAACCAGGCACAAGCATGCCCACGCACAAGGGCATACACAAAGAAACAAGTTTCAAAGGTGTTAACAATACCTCAGTATCATGGATGGCCCAGGGCCACAGGGCCCAAACAACACTGCATCCTCAGATGCCTGAAAGTGCAGTTTGGCCCCCAGGAAGGCATACCTTAAAAAACAGGTATGTCCCTAGCAAGAACATCTAAAAAGATGTGGGAGAACTATGACTAGAAGCATCATTGTAACCCCTGGGCAAGCACGAGACCAAAAATGCATGTACGCAACACAACTAAAATGAGTATGGGGCCTGCAGAGACCTCACGGTCAACGTTGCACTCCTGGGACCCTGAGTTCAATCCTGGCACTGTAAGGCCCACACCAGTTCACTTCCAGGACTCTAGGGGTCCGTGTTGATTCTGCGCAATGATGTATCAGTGGTCCCTAGCATTGGGCTGTCAAGCACGGTAAGCTGAGATTTGCCCTGAAAGCTGCCCCCAGAGCTTCTAAGCAATGCTTAGTAAGTAATCACCCTCTACAAAAACCAAAACCCAAACCCCCAAATGAGAATAATCCTGAGTAAATTTTGTATAAGCACCACAACCGAGAATGTGTGACTCCTGGTTATCACCGTAGCAGAAAGGAAGAAAAGAGAAAAAGCGTTTAAGTATCAAAGAAACTTGACTGCAACCTGGGAAGCAAAAATATTCAAAAAGTATTTGGGGGGTAAGATTAACAGAAGTTAAGGCATTTAGCTTGCATGCAGCTGACTCCAGTTTGAACTCTGACACCACATACGATCCTCTGAGCACTAACAAGAGTGAGTGCAGAGATTCAGGAATAGCCCTTGGGCATCCATGGGGATGGCCCCAAAGACAAAAGGCAAAAATAGTGGAAGAAAGAAGATTTCTGGGATAAAACTGGAGGATTTCAGTACAGGATTACTGAATGTAAGATATCTTTAGATTACAGAGTTACAGGCTGAAAGTGTTGATGGGTATAATCCAAACCTACAGTTTAAATACCCACTAGATAAATGAGTTACTTTCCTAGCCAGCAACAGTGAATTCCCCTCCTCCTGAAACAAATCCATTTAAAATCAGCTTATCTGTACTTATCAGAGCTTCCCAATGAACAATGACATAAAAAAGTTAAATTTTTAAAAATATTACACTACCATGGGGCTGGAGTGATAGCACGGAGGGTAGGGCGTTTGCCTTGGATGCAGCCGACCTGGGTTCGATTCCCAGCATCCCATATGGTCCCCTGAGCATCGCCAGGAGTAATTCCTGAGCGCAGAGCCAGGAGTAACCCCTGTGCATTGCCAGGTGTGACCCAAAAAGGGAAAAAAAAACAAACTACACTACCAATAAATTCCAATAGAGTTACCTATTTAATAAATACCACTTACCAAACACAGTAACAACAAAGTCTCCAATGGAGACGTTACTGGGCCCGCTCGGCAAATACTTAACAAACGCTATTCTTTCCTGGGGAGAGAAAATCTTGACCAAGACTAGCAAAATCTGTAATTGTTGTGTTCAGTGATTAGATTTTATTTATTCTTGGTTTGGGGGTCACAACAGCAGGCTGAGGGACCATGTGGGGTGCCGAGGATCAAACACAACACAGTTTGGCCACATGCAGGGCAAGGATCCTATCCATTGCACTCTCTCTGGCACCGAAGTGATCAGATTTTAAAAAACAAACTTACATTAGGAAAGCTCCTGGCAGGCATTTTCAACGAATCCCTTCATACATGTAGTATGTAGATATCCAGCACAGACTGAAAAGCTTTTCTACGAACCTCTTAGAATTGAAAACGTCAGCTAAGTCTTCCCCTAAGGATCACATGCGGCGCCTCCCTGAAAATCAATGTACATACCTCTTGTGCATCTCGTGCTGCCTTTGCATCATCCTCATTATAGCGATTACAGTTGTACCTTAAAGCAAATGAAAAGAATTCCATAAAGCCATAAACAAGAGCAAAAACCAAAACCAAACCACAAGTGGAGATTTTTGCCTGGTTTTAGAGAGTTATCCAGACTAATTTTCTCCTTTACAGAGATAAATTAAGATGTTAAAATACCCAGAGTTTTACCACTGAAAGGACAGAATTACCACCCTGAAAGGAACCAAAATTGTTATTGAACCACCTATAATAACCAGTTTTCTATTCAAGAATTCCCCTCCTTCTGAGGCATTCTATCCCAAATCAGTCCACCTATAATCACTGAGAAACAGTCATTCTAGAACATGTATTCACTGACTACAGTGTGAGTTTGTAACCCAATTTATGAAGAAAGATGTTATCTCATCTAGTAGGCTACGTGTGACCGAGTGGGTCAAAGTAGTGTTTTGTTGTTATTGTTGCTGCTGTTGTTACACTTCAGCTCTGTGCTTGGAGGTCACTCCCAGCAGTGCTGCGGAACCATATGGTGTTGAGAATTCAACGCAGACCTGCTGCATGGGAAGCAGGAGCTCAGTCTGCTGAGCCCTCTCTCCAGCCACAAAATATCGCCAATTTTTCCAATATTACTCACCTTCTCTTATTATAAACCAAAGGGACAATCATAACAGTATGCAGGAAATGCTGTGTGCTTTACATGCTTATGTTTTATGAGACTCACTGTAAATTGAATATGTAAACAGAAGAAGGAAGGGGGAAATCTACTCAGTGAAGTCAACTCAGAGTAAACATGAATTAGTTTTTCCTTTCCAAATTATTCTATCTCTTCGTTTATGTCAACGTACAATGATGTTAATATATAATAAAGGAATCGTTAATAATTGTTGAGTGATCTTTTACAAACCCATCCACTTAGTAGGGACTTAAAACTTTATTATTGAAATTTGACCTCCTAATATCCCCAAGAAATATGTATTATTCTCACTTAGCAGATGAGGAATTAGGTTCAGAGAAGATAAGCAATATAATATTATGGTCACATAAATAGTTTTAGAGCTAAAAATTAAATATATGCTTATCTGTCAAGTGGCCCCTGTGCCCTTTAACCAGTGAATAAATAATTCACATGTGTCATCATGTCTTCAACGTCTTTAGCCATCCTTTTAGAAAAATAAACTGAATTTAATTTTAATCTTGCTAAATTACCCATTTTTTATTCCAGTCAAGTTATTCATTCACGATTTACACTATCTATATATTCAATTTCCTCCCCCTTTGGTGTTATTCTAAAACATATACAAAATTCTTAGTTCACAAGTAAGTCATTGATGAAACTGGTCAGAAAGCAGTATATACCACTGTCCCTGTGGTGTCAGGGATCAAGCTTGGTCTCATGCATGAAAGTCATACACTTTACCAAAGAGCCACATCCCTGGTCTTTAACAGAAGCATACACTTTACATGAATAAACAAACCAAAAACGGTAAGGACAAAACCTTTCAGCAAATCTTTAATGCATTCCAGTAGGAAGACTCTTCTCTCATATTCCAAGAAACAGTCAATTAACTCTTCTCTACATTTAAAGACTAGGCCTCAAACTTCTATACTGACAACCTTAATAAAATGTATAAAAACATTTTATAAACTGTCACCCTAATGATATATCATTTGGTTCTGTGATTTCACATAGTTATGTGTTTCGTATCATTGGTAGACTCAATCACACATTCTGGAAAATCAGGGATCACATTTAATCTCTCTTCAATCTTGGTACCTCTCTATTAGCTAAAATTACTCAGATAAAAACAATGGCTCACAGGCTTCTTCTTTTACCAGTGCTGATTAGACTGAATTTAATTCAAAGAATGCCTTCCTCCCCTCTACTGGTTCACTATAAAAAAAGCACCTATCTTTTCCATACAATCCCTAAAAACTTTCCTCCTTTTGATATAGGTATTTATAGTCATATATTAAACAATATTATCAAGGATTTTATAGACGAAAAAGCAAACAGGATACCTTTGTTGTGGTTTTGGGCCTCATGCAGATGTGCTTAGGGGTTACTCTTAGCTTTGTGTGCAGGGATCACTCCTGGTGGTACTTGCTGGACTATATGGGATGCTGAGAATCATACCTGGGTTGGCCCGTGCAAAACACCCTACTGGCTGTACTATTTCTTTGGCTCCAAGATTTATGTATATTTCTAACTCAAATGGAACAATTAGTGCTTCTTGGAATGCTATTTTGGGATCAGAACATAAAACGTTTCTTCCCATTTGTAATGTCCACCATTAGTAACGGTAGGACAAAGACAACACTATGTCATTCCTGCCTTGGACAATTAGTCATTCTTCTATATTAATTTATTTTATATCCTTTACAGTTTCTAATATTGTTCATTTAAAAGGTAAATTGAGATCAAGGATATTTATCATGTACATACACATGTATGTACACACACACACACACACACACACACACGTGCTCACATGCCACAAACATACATCATCTTCAGTAACTCCTCTATTGTACTGCTGCTCCTCTTCATTAGTCTTGTTTAAATTCACCATGGTGAACTTCAATTATGAGAACACATTAATCTTCCGTGTCACTCCTTATAATACAGAACTAATAAACTCAAATCCATTATTCGACTGACAGTGCTAAGTCATGTCTTATTTTTACTTTCACTTAACCAATTAATCTTTACCTGGCTCAGAATTTCAGCACAATAACACTTCTTTTTATTCCTTCAGTGAATCTAATAAAAATTTAATAAACCTAAAAAGACCTGTCTTTTAAAAAGTTTAGATTCTTTTTTTATCTAATTTCTTCCTGTCCTATTCACTCTACAAAGCAACTATTAGTAATGTATATGAAACACATAATACAAGGCTTTATAATTATAGCTCTAGCCTTATCACTGACTCAAAAGCTTTCTGATAATGCAAACAGAGGTCCAGTCTACTTCCTCTTTTCCTATTCCATATCATTTAGGAAGAGTCACAAACTTAAATGCCAAAAGGAGAAAAGCAGGTAACACAAATTAGTGAAATGGTACATATATGTATCATTACACCAGATATTTTCTATTTTGGTGCGAGATGTGTTAAGTTCCAATTTTCTCAACATTCAAGGCAGCCACAATCTAAAATTTACTTGAAGGAACATGTGATTTTAGGAATTGAATCCAGTGCACATACAAAGCAAATACTCTGCTATTTTATCCCTGGCCCCAATTTGATTTTTGAAGCCAAAAAACAGGTATATGTTTCAAAAAGAAACCAAAAATCTCAACGTTATGTTAAGCAATTTTCTACCTTTTTTAAGTTTTGAACAAGTTTTTTTTCCCCAAGGCTGTATAGTAAGTAAAATATATGCATGCGGAGTTTTTCTCAAGTTTCTTGGTTGAGACAAATTAGACAATACACCCCTTTCACATCACTTTACCCTTATGATGTTCCTTTTAGGCTACATGTTTTTCCTACTACTTTAATTCTATCACTTATCTACAGATTCCTGAACCTTTCCTAACACTGTTTCAACTCTTGGTCCTTCTTTAAGATCTATCCTAATTGTTAGGCCCCCTGTGAAATATGCCTAATGAATCCTCCTTTCTGTAGATATTCATATACCTCTTATAACACTAACCACACCCTGCGTTCATTTATTTAGGTCCCAAGTTACGTGATTTCCATGAGGTAGAACCTTAATCGTAATACGCGGCACATATCACATACTTATGTGAACATAATCTTCCCTTCATTTCCCCAACCTACCAGGCAGATCCATGTGGTTCCCAAGGGCCAAGACACACCCAGCAAAACTCTGCTTTACAGTTCTGGTTACGACAGACCATGTGATTACAACCGCCATCCTTCTCAATTGTGACATGGCATTTGGGACATTCCTATGAAGAGAAACTATAAAGTTGGTGTCAATGCTACACTAGGTTGTATTACTACCACTGAGGAGAAGCCAATTCTAGATTTGGTTTATTTTAAATATCATCTTTACTGTGATTAATACATGCAAAGCACTTAGAACAGTGTTAAACACTTATATTCCATTGGAAACAAGCTTATCATTATTATTGGCTTTTATAATGCGCAGTAATTTAAGGATTTAGTGGGGTTGGCAGAAAAAAATCATTTAAGTACTTTAACCATGCATATAGTACAGAAACCTTTTATGGGAGATAAAACTTTTGATTTGGGGCCATACCTGGCAGTACCTGGGGGGAAGGATCATGTGATGACAGGGTTCAAATACCCAGAACTCCCGCATGCAAAGCATGCTCTCCAGCTCTTTGAGATATCTCTCCGAGGCCAAGGGAAAACTTTTTAAATGTAAATACACCCTCTAATATAATCTAGAAATCATCGAGAACTTCCTGTACCCCACACACTGTTCTCAGTGTTTTACAAGCATTAACTCATAATCCTTGTCATAGTGCTATTCCTATTTCAATGTGTCAAATGAATAAACTAAGGGAGAGGGAAATAATGAAGAAAGCTCGTCCAAGGTGACACAGGCAGCAAATAACAGAGCCAGGAGGCAAACCCAAGCGATGTGGCCTTGAGAGTTAGGAAAGGGGGATAAGATTAGTGAATCCTTTGGAGGTCACTGAACTCTGTTGTCACCACTACTTTTTTGGGTCAAATACAATGTCTTATTTCTTTTTTACTGTGATCTGTTTACAACTATTCTATAGTGGACAGATTCCCCCCACCCCCTTCACTTTATCTTCTACTTGGTTGCTAGGGAATTAAAGTCACTGCCCTACAAACTTACTGTTTTTTCCCGTTCAGAAATTAAAAAAGAAAACATACTCATTCTTAACATAACTGTGTAAGAAATTAAAGCTTGCATTTGACGTTGGAAACTCCTACAGGAAGCACAATCACTATCATTACATTATATGCATAATTCAGCCTTTATGAAGCAGAATATTAATTTTATTACCAGTTTTTGGCTTGAGGGCTCAGCACTGATTCGTGGCTCTGCACTCAGGGATCACCCTTAGTGCTGCCAGGAACCAGTTGCAATGAGGAAGCTCAAACTGAGGTCTCGTGTGTAAGGCAAACACTTTAACTTCTGTATTATCTCTCCATATCTAAATAACAGTAATTTTAAATAATCCAAAGAGAGACACCACAACACTCTCCAATTTTTTTTTTTAAAGCAAAGCCTGCAAAGAAGTTCTCAGGGGGCACTCTGATAACTGGCCAACTGGGCCTATGACATCAACACTTGGGTCCAACAATGTGTACTGCCTGGGTCTGCAAGGAGGCCCTGGTTGGTGTCAGGGTGATGTTTTAGGACAGGAGAAGACCACTAGTGGTGCGTGGGGCCACCAGGCTAAACCCTGCTGTTCTGGGGAGGTGGGCCATAAAGTGCCGGAAATTCAGCTCAGGTCCTATCCCCTCTGACCACTGAGTCATCTCCCTGGGCCTGACAACGTCCAACTATATATTTTTAATAAAAAATTTAAATTACTCATAAGAAATTTTACATTTTTCCAAATTCAAAGCCTCAAGTACATTTTATTTTATGTTTGTTATAATTAATCACATAATACTATTATAATTAACCACATGACATTAATCTCTAAATAAGTTAGGATACCACTAAAAATCTTAAGGCAGTAATAGTAATAAAACTTTTAAATCTCTAAGGAGAATAAACTTTCAGTTTTGCTCAGAACTACCAAGTTGATAAATTTCTTACTACCAATTACCATTTTTCCTGTATAATTTAAATTAAGTCTACCATATTCAGTCCTGTACTTCCTATTTTATGCATTCTGGAAATTTAAAGTATTTGGAAATTTCTCTAACTGTAGAATTAGAGCAACAGTCTAATCACTCTTCTCAGTGAAAATATAACTCTCACATATTCTATTGTTTTCAAAAAACATCCAAAGATTTGGGGACTTTAATGAATATATGTATTATTTTTATATATGTATATGCAATATGTTTTCTATATATATCCTCTATTTTCAATAGAACAATGGTTGGCTAGAAAACAGGTTTTGTTTTTTGTTTTTGGCTAAGCTCAGGACTTACACCTGGCTCTGCACTAAGGAATTGCTCCTGATAGTGTTTGGGGGACCATATGGGATGTTAGGACTTGAACCTGGGTGAGCAATATGCAAAGGAAACACCCTCCCCATTATTATACTATCTATACTATCATTCTGGCCCCAGGAAAATTTTACAATTACAAGAGTAATTGTTATTTTCTGGCATTACACAATGTATTTTATAATGTTTGCTTGTGTGACATTATTTATCATAACAGTTTTAGAGAGCACACAAATATTTAAATTATACATTCCTCAAAGATGTGGCTTTTTTTTAATATGAAAGAACTTACTGCTGCACTGCTAATGCTTTCTAGAAGATCAAAATATATACTTAAGTGATCATTTTTTGGGGTAGCAGATATATAATGGTATGAAATTTGATTCATTAATTTTATAATTTAAGCACTCCTTCCTACTGTTGTCCTGTGACTGAGTGATGAAATAGTGCAAACCCATACTTAATACTGGTCAAACAATTCAGTATTCTTTAAAGCATTATCTTCAAAGGTGGGAAACAATCGTATATAAAAATGAACAGTACATGAATACCCTTATCATGAATACCCAAGTAATTTCCTATAAAGACAGAATGAATATTCAATTAAAGATTATATACTTATAAACTTTTCTTATTGAGAATTTGGGCACACAGTTGTGATTCAAATTTTTGGCTATTATTTGGTGATAGAAAAGAAGAAGAGTAATTGCATTTTTGAGACATTTTAGAGGTCTGAAAGAAGTTCAACGTATCAGAAAACAAGAAGTAAAAAACAAAAAAACCAAAGGACAGTTACTGAAAAATTTGTTTTTCAGGAGAAATCTCTTAATAAATCATATTTAGTACATTGAACATGAAATAGATTAGTTAAGGTCAGTTCCGTTGCATAATAAAAGTTTACTCCTGTTTTAAAGAATGATTCCTTCAAGATTAAAGAATGGAAATTTTTGTAAGCATAAATGTAACAGAAAAAGAAACAAATTAATAAAACTGAGTTAATACCAATCCATTTCTACTAACAGGAAGCCAAGAACAATATGAGAAGGCATTATAAAAGCCCTAGATGAAAGAAAGTGTCGCTTTGTTGTTTAAAAAATAAAATTATTTTCCAATTAAAATCCTCTAAAGCAAAGCACTACACTTACAAGCATTACAGAATTCAAACCCAAAAACTTAACACTCAAAAAACTAAATAAAATTAATCAAGGGGAGTATAAGTGAGATAAATATAAATCAAGACTAATGACTAGGAGTCTTATTGATTCCGCTATAATTTAATCTAATCATTATCAGGTTCATTAGTGGCAGAATTTAATAAAGAAAAATACCAACCTTTGTGTTGGCTGCAATCCAATTGGAGGTTTCACTGTCATCATCACACTTTTTAATCCACTTCTTCAACCACTGTGTAAAAACAACAACTGTTATGGCACAACAAAAGACTTAGGCTGAAGATTTAAAAAAAATCACCTTAACAAATAACACTTCAAACATAAAATCCAAACTGATTACCTATAAGTTTATTTCCATTTACTTATTTATTTTGGTGTTCTGGGCTTACTCCTGGCTCTATATTTAGAGATCACTCTTAGTGGACTCAGGGCAGCAAATGTGGTCCTAGGGATCAACCCCAGGGTGACTGCATGCAAAACAAGCGCCTTATCCACAGTACAACTGCTCAGGTCCAAGAAATGATCAACTTAAGTAAAGACCACAAAATAAAATTTATCTGCTACTGTGTAAGTAACAAATTGTGAGCAATTTGTCGAAGCATCACATGTGTTATGCTGCTTAAAAACGAAAACGCAAAACTCACCTTACATTTAACAGGATCATGCCAATTTTCTCCACAGTTAAAGCTGTTAAGTAACACAAGAGTTAAAATAATTAAGTCCCACCTACTAAGGAAGGTAAACATACTATGTCATGATTTATAGTTCCCTAGTAACTAAGCAAAACAAGGAGAGGAACCATGTCTGCTTTATTTCACAGTAAGTTGTTTAGAATTTAGTGCGAGGACAAGTATGTACTGAGTACTCAATACATGTATAAGAATGATTAAAGTATGAAGGGATATTTTGTTATAATTCTATCTTAATTAAAAGCTACCAAACTGATAAGACAAAAATCGGTTTAGTTAGATCTGTACTTTCCTGAGTTTTTTAATATAGTTTCTTGCTGCAACCATTCTTTAACTGAAACTGAACAAATAATTTTTATTAATTTGAGTTTAATTTCAACAAATCAGTATACATTATCTTTTTTCTAAAGCTTTGAAATGACTTTACATGTCTTAGTATGAATTACTACTTACTTGGATATAATTTATTATGCCTAATACACAGTAAACAATATGTGGTACGCAAACAAGCCACATCTTTGCACAATCCAAACAAATGAATCTCAACATAATCGATAACTGTACTGAACAAGGTGCAAAACAAGAAAACGCAGGGCTGTAGAGATACACCCTGAGTTGAGTGCTTGCCTTATACAATGTTGACCTAGATTTGATCCCTGGCATGCCACAAGGTCCAGGAATGATTCCTGAGTGCAGAGGCAGGCGAAAACCCTGAGCGCTGCTAGGTGTGGCCAAAACAACCTCTCAAAAAAAAAAAAAAAACACAAAACAAAAACAAACCACCTTCAACAACATTTCAGTTACTAAGTACTCTTAATTATTCTGTCTTAAATCTAAGATTCAAATGCTTTAAATTTAAATTATATTAAAAAGTAGGTTAAGACTCTGCTGTATAACTGAATGAACTTTCAATGCATATTTTATACATACTTTGAATTAATTTGCCTGCTTTTTGGAGAAGTTTTTGGTTTGGGGGCCACACCCAGTAGTACTCAGGGCTTACTCCTGGATCTGTGCTCAGAGATCACTCCTGGCAGTGCTCAGAGGGGACCATATGGAATATCTGGGATCAAACCTGGGTTGGCCATGTGCAATGCAAGTGCCCTACTGGCTGTATTACTTATTGCATTGGCCCCTGGAGTATGAAGGAAATGAATATCAAATTCTATAGATGTCTGGAGAAAAAAATAGAATGGTATGAGATACTAATTAAGTGCCTATATGCTAGCTCCAGAGCCCCATAGATTGGCTTCTTATTCTTGGTTTTTGGTTCCTACCCAGAGATGCTCAGGGGTTGCTCCAACAGTGCTGGTACCCAATGTCATAACTGAATCTGAGGCACCAGGATAAGCAAAATATGAGCACTGGCACTTTCAGCCAACTCCTGACTGGACCTCTCTTTTGTTGTTGGTGGTGGTGTTCAGGAGCTACACCCAACGTGGTGCTCTTGGGATTGCTTCTGGCAGTGCTTGAGGGACAATGTGATGCCAGGAATTGAACCTGGACTTTCTGCAAGCAAAATTACATTCTCAACCTGTTAAGCTTTTCTCTACTGTATCTTTTTTGTGTGCTTTGTTTTGGGGTCAAACCCAGTGGTCATCAGAAGTTATCCCTGGTGGACTTGGGGGATTGTGTAGGATGCTAGGAACAAATCTGGGTGGACCCTATGCAAGGCAAGTGCCCTGCCTACTGTCTTATTGCTCCAGCACCCTATGATACTGCATTCTTCAAAGACTCACAAAAAAGGTCATGACACAGTTATGACACAGTTTTGTGAATTTCTGGTAAGTCAAATCTAGAATTCGAGTTGAAGAGTTTTCGAAAAACCCAGGTTACTATGAAAGTCAGGGCCAACGGAGCCAGAGAAGAACATATTTTACTTTAAAAAAACACAACTAAATCAGTTTCATCTTTTCAAATTTAACTACATATATAATTTTAGAAGCATTATTAAACTTTTAAAAATAATTTTATTCATTTATTTTTGCATTTGGGGTCAGAGGTTAGTCCTGGCTTTGCACTCAGGAATCACTCCTGGCGGTGCTCGGGGGACCGCATGGGATGCCGAGGATTGAACCCAAGTCGGCCACGTGAAGGCAAAGGCCCTCCCCACTGTACTATCGCTCCGGTCCCATGATTAAACTTTTAGAGAAAACATCATTTGACAGAATAATCAACCAGAAAGGAGAACTGAGTTCTTGTCTTGTCCCAGGTCTGTAAGCTATTTCACTACCATACACGTTCTAAAGAAGCATACAAAAAATTTATTATAGTTGTATTTTCCCCATTAGAAAAATACAGAACTCGAACAACAACCAAAAAAAAAACTCACTTAAGACTTAGCTTTCTATGTGTATTTTAAAAGGATGAGGCATTTTAATCTAATTCATACCACCCCCAACAAAATTAAAAAGTAAAGAGTAACATCACCCACCTGAAGTAAACAAATTTTCTACTGTTTTCTACAGAGAACAGAGAGAGCAGAAAACTTAAGGGCACCATTTCGACTTAGGAAATCACCTGCTTACCAAAACTGACGCCCACATTTGCAGCGAACAGGTTTAGCATCAGGGTATTGGACTTTAACAACATGGTGGCAATCTGGGGCAGGACACCACTTTAACAGTCGATTGCACTGAAATACAAGTTACACAGTTAAAAACTGACAGTAAATTAAGCCACAATGAAAGATATCCTAGCACAACAAAGAGTTATTTTTACGGTTTCCCTAATGCAAGGGGTAAAGGACATGGTGACAAATACTGTTCCTACATCTGGTCCTATGCTTCTGGATGCACATTTTCAGATTACAGATCCTTTGAACTCTTTCATAAAATAGCTTCTGTTTCATCCTAAAAATTCCTCTGAGAACAAAAGTAAACAAAACCAATTCCTAACCACAGCCAAGATAGAATTTAATATTCTCAAAAGGTTTTAAGTTGTCTTTTGTGGAATGCCTAGTGGTGTTCGGGTGCTACTCCCAGCTCTGTGCTCAGAACTTATTCCTAACTCTGTGTTCAGGGATCACTCCTGGCAGGGATCCGGGGACTATATGGGAAGCTGAAGAATGAAGCCAGATTGGCTGTTTGCAAGGCATTCATCATGCCATAACCCACCATACATCCCTCTGACACATAATTAGTTTTACAAACGAAAAACAAGAATTTCCATGATTAAACAAAATTCCTTTTACTGAAAGCAGGAAGGCCTTGAGAAACAGCACAGAGGTCATGAGTTAAAATCCACAGTATCCCATGCGACAAACATAATCCTGACAATTTTGCTATTTTAGCCAGTAGCTCTGTTGTGTGTGACTGCCAGTATTATAAGCAATTTCTTTCTTTTCTTTTGTTTTTGGGGCCATTTCTGGCAGTGCTCAGGGGTCACTCCTGCCCCTACACTTTGGAAATACTCCTGATGGTTCTCAGTAGACCACAGACCACATGGGATGCCAGATCAAACCTGGATCATCGCTGTGTAAGGCAAGCCCTCTGCAACTGATTTCTGAGCACACCAGTGCCAGCATCACAACAAAAAAGTGGAGACCCCAGTGAACATTGGTGGCTGTTCAGCTTGGTGTAGACCCCAACCAAATAAAATTAAAATTTTTAAAAATAATAAAATTAAAATGTGCAAGCAACACAGCCAAGCATGTAGAGCAAAACTTCAGTCTTTAAAGCAATAATATCTACAATGAAGGGGGAGGAGAATTGGAAAAGAAAGAAAATAAAAAAAAAAAGAAAAACCTAAACCACTTACCTCTACAAAGCTATTTGTTATTAAGTGTTGATACTTTAACTTAACTTTTGAATCTGTGATCAGGCGCCTGAAAAAACAACAAAAAGATTTATTTTTAGTTAAGGGCTTAAATATTTCAACAAAACAAAACAAAACAAACAATAACAACAACAACAAAAAAAAAACTGCCACAATTTGAAATTTCTACTGGGGGGCATGGCATGAAGGCTGATGATATTTGGTGGCTACCACCAGTGGTGCTCTGGGTACCATGTGCAACCAGGGATAAAAGCAGGCCTCAAACCCACAAAACATGCATTCCTGGCTTCTCTCGTCAATCTAGACGATTCTGTAATTCACAACAATTTCGAGGCATCAATGAAAACAATGAATCTTGAAATTTAAGTTTCAATAGTATAAATGGTAAACATTTCTGCCAGTTTTAAGAATACTATTAAAGAGAAAGAGCAACCACTGACAAAGTCAGAAAAAAATACATCGGAATCCAACCTCATTAAAACCTTTAATAAAGGCTATGTTTTGCACACTCTGACCTCTTCTAATACCTGATTTAATTCTTTTGCTCTCCTTCCTCAAGAGTTCATGTCCTATGACACTTTTAGTTTACTCCTGTTACATATATATTCTTTAAAAAAAAAAAAATGTGGAAGGGGGGGTGTTTGAGCCAGACCCCGTGGTACCAGGGGTGTTACTCCTGTCTCTGTACATAGGAATCACTCCTGATTTGGTTTGGGGGACCATATGGGATGCTGGGGATCAACCCCAGGGGATTATGTGGTGTTGGGGATCAAATCTGGGCTTCTTTTGAATAAAGTATGTGCTTCAATTTGTTGAACTTGCCCTCTAACCTGTATAACTGTAAGAATTCATAAGTTATGTTACTGTCAGGAAAATAAAAGTATCTAAGTGCTGATGTATATAATAGACTATGAAAAGAGTTCTGAAAGCACCTTGGATGACAACAAACCTTGGAAAAAGACAACGAGTTAAGTATTAAAACTATGAATTTATGTAGGAGTGACCATAAGACAGGCAGATCACAGCATACAAGAACCAGGACATACCTGGATAATACAAACTCTACTAAAAGACCATGGTCCCTGTTTTTTATTCAAAATAACCAGGGTTCACATACAGATTCGGTGGCTATGCACCCACAATTGAGTTTCAGTGTCCAATAGCGACACCCCCTTGTTTTGCTCACATACATTCTAGCTTTAGTATTCATCTCTAGGGGCACATTCCAGGCCCCTGATGCTTGCATGTTCAAGTAGTGTTTAGGATCTGAAGCAATGTTCCAATTAAGGCCACATTTCTGCCGCATAGCTCACAGCTAATGACTGAGAAGGTTGAGGATATTGAGGCTTGGGCATTTCTACTTTTTAAGGCATTCCTCTGTGGGCAGTCTACGTACTGGGGTCATCCACGAGACTGTGAGAGATGGCTGCAAATCCATCCCTACTGAATTCTCCTTCCTTCTTTCTCTTAATGGTTTCAGATGTACAACAAGATCTGGTGTACTTATCATTCTTTTTACCTGTTTCAAAGCTGTCAAGAGACAATCTCCTTATCTTATTTTAATACTACGCAGCATGATTCCCTGAGAACTTCAACAGACTAAGCTCCAATTTCAAGGTTTATGGAAACTATTATGTATTGCCAGGTTTACCAGAGTAGTCACAGGGAATTTAACCAATTACAAATAGACTTTAGATCACACAAATGAGAATCTGCAAAGACTCCAGACTAAAATTTTCACTCCTTTGAGATAAAAAACATTTTTAAAGTTCTAAGTAAAAATTAGTCTGGCTTAACTAATATTCAACAGGCAGAAGATAAAAGAAATACTTACATAACTGTGTTGTCATCCACTAAGATATCACAACCATGAGCAGGGCATGAGATAGTCTGAAAGAGAAATTTAAACTGTCTTCATTCAACAAACACTCACTGAACCTTTACCATTGTTACACTGAAGGAAAGCAGCAATACTGGCAGGTTCTTGACAACTTTGTATTAAAGGAAATATATGGGCTATTTATGTGAAATTATTTATAACCACAAGATTCCAGCATTATTGACCTGATTAACTGGTTTCTGGCAAAAGCAAGTAACCTGACGAAACTGTTGAAATATACAAAAGTAGATGTTTGCTGAGAATTACTGGAATGGATCTTAATACTAAAATGCCCCATATCAAATAGAAAAAAAGACCTCATTTATTTATTTATCTTTGCTTTTTGGGTCACACCCATCGATGCTCAGAGGTTACTCCTATCACTGCACTCAGGAATTACTCCTGGCAGTGCTTGGGGGACCATATGGGATGCTGGGAATTGTACCTGGGTCGGCCGTGTGCAAGGCAAACGCCCTACCCACTGTGCTATTACTCCAGCCCCTCAACTATATTTTAGTTATCTTAATCTTTAAAAAATAAGCTCCCCTATGTAATTCATAATCCATTAAAACTTACCTGTTTATATTTATGCAACGACCCAGACACCGTAGAAGTTGAATACAAACTAAAATCAAATTGGCATCTTTACCTGTCCCATGCCTTCCTCCATAATTTTGGTAGTTAAATATTCGCTCCAGCACTGCATACAAAACTTATGTCCACATTCAAGGCCAGTGAAATACTGCAACAAAAATAAAACAAAGACTTAAAAAAAAAAACAACAACAACAAATAAAAATGTTGCATTACCAGAAAAATCACCGTAAGGTTATTTTAGGTCACATTCTTCATGGTACCTACAATACCTATTTGATAACAGATGGTTAATAAAATTAAGTTCTAGGTAGTGAAATCTAGACGGACATATGCAGTGAACAGAAAACACCAATGAGAATGAAAAGTGAATCTATAGGATTATTAATTTTAGGAATGGCAGACATTATTAACTGTATAAATTTTGTTCTGGGCTACATCCAGTTACACTGAGGGGATACTCCTAGCTCTGCACTCAGAGGAACTGCTCCAAGTGGTGCTGACGGTACCATATGCTATACCAGGGATTGAACCAGGGTCAGCTGCCTGCAGGGCCACCACCCTACCCACTGCACTATCTCTTCAGACCCTGTATTAAATTAGAAATGTTATATACCAATAAGCATATGACAGATGTGAATCTCTGAGCTCAATCCCAAGCATTATATATATAAAAAAAAAGCTCAAACAAAATAGGGGGTTAAAAGATATTTTAGGAGATAAGACACTTTCCCTGCACATAGCTAACTCTAGTTTGGTTCCAAGCACCACAAGGAATCACTCCCGAGCAGAGAGCTTGCCTGAGCAGGAGAGTGTGATCTAAACTGCCCTCACCCCCATCATCCCCCAGAAGGAAGCCTTTGTTTGTTTTACTTTGTAATTATGCACTACACCCAGCAGTGCTCAGGGTTTTCTCCTGGTCTGCACTCTAGCATTATTCCGGATGGAGCTTGGGAAACCATAAGGAGTGCCAACAATTGAAGCCAGCAGGGTGAGTGTAAGGCAAATACCTTTGCCCATTGTACTCTCTCTCCAGTCAAAATAGCCTTAAAATCACAATGACATTTTAAAAGAATAGTACTGGAAATCACTTGCATTGCAAGGAGCCAAACCTAGTTTGATCCCTGGCACTGCCAGGAGAAGTAATTCTTGAGTAAGGACCAAGTGTGGCCCAACACACACCCATCACCCCCTCCCACCCAAACCACACAAGATGATTCCACCTACACCTACTTTTTTTTTAATTGAAGCACCTAAAGATATAGTTACAAAGCTGTTCATGATTGAGTCTCAGTCATACAACGCTCCAACACCCATTCCTTCACCAGTGCACATTTTCCACTACCAACGCACCCACTTACTTAAAAAAAAAAAACTAACAAAAGTGTTGGTAAGATGTGGAGAAACTAGGATGCTCATACTATGCAGGTGAGAATGCAAACGCGTAAAAACTTTGAAGATACTCTGGCATTTTTTTCAAAAGATTAAATAAGAACATGCAATCCAGCAATTCCACTCCTTGGTATATATGCAAAAAATGAAAACACATTCACACAGAAACTGTTACAATAATGGTTCACAGCAACTAGTATCTGTAATTGTCAAAAGTGGAAAGAATTTAAATGATCCACAGCTGGTAAGTAGAAAAATAAAACATGTAATATCCATAAAATATTATTCAGCCACAAAATGGGAGTACTGATACAAGTTATAACATGACTAAAACTTGAAAATATGTTAAGTAAAAGCAGAGAGTCATTAAAGACAACCCAGTGTCCAATTAGGAAGTTCATAATAGGCAAATTAAGGTGGAAGTTGTGATCGGTAGTTGCCAAGGGCTGGAGTACAGGGAGATACTGGAAACTGACCATACAAGAGTACAAGGTGTCTTTTGGTTATAAATATCCTCTGCAACAAAATGTGCCACTGCCTACTAAACAGTATATTAAAAAAAAAATTAACAGATATAGACATAGATAGGGGGCAGAGAGATACTACAGCAGGTAAGGGGCCTGACTTGCATGCTGCCAACCTGGCACTTCATATGCTTGTCCTACATCACCAGAAGTGATCCCTGAGCAAAGCTGTGTGGCTCAAATCCAGCCGCCACAATTATATACAGGTGAATTGTAGGTAGCATTATATTTGCTATATACCAATATATAATTGAATAGCACCAATAAAGCTGTTATAAAAAACATGACACAGGGGCAAGGACACGTGCCCAGTTCAATTCCAAAAGCACAAGGCCTTCCACACTTTGCTGGGCTACTCTACAGGCCCTAAGCACAGCAGGTCCTGCCGGCCCCACCCGCTGAGTGTCATGTGGAGGGGATACAAACTGAGAGGCACTAGATCGCCTGTTCCCCACACGGGCAAAGGTCACACAAAAGACTGCAACTGTGTGGAATAATAACCTAGAAAACCAAATATTTTGGAAACCCAAAGATTATTCAGATAATTAAATAACAGGAACATTTTGGTAAAGTTCTATATTATATGATTTGAAATGCCATTTGAGAGATGGCCAAAGGAAGTAAATTCTGCTATGGGATGTTACGCAAGTACTTCAGTACTAGAGAGTCTAGCGTTGTATTTCTCAGCCCTTTTCTGACTTTTATTTCTGTCCTGCGGCATTTCTTCCCACCCACCCCCCGCCATTCTACTGGCTGGTCCCTTTTTTGTGTGTTGTGGCCTTCCCTGATTTGCGCGATTTCTAGCAGTAGCCCCACAAATAAATGCTAATGAAACTTTTTTCTTTTCTTTTTGAATCACACCCGGCGATGCGCAGGAGTTACTCCTGGATCATGCACTCAGGGAATTACTCCTGGCAGTGCTCGGGGTACCATATGGGATGCTGGGAATCGACCCCGGGTCGGTCACGTGCAAGGCTAATGCCCTACCCGCTGTGCTATTGCTCCAGCCCCAAGAAGAAACATTATTTTTAAAAAACTCAATTTTCCCTACTTTAGTTCAAAAATATTTTGCAATATTATTAAATTATTTTAAGTTAATAAGTAACAAGAGTGGTGGGAAAAAAGCCATCCTCATTCTCATACCTTCCCTTTACTATTTTTTACCTAAAAGCAATCACTAATTCCAATACCTTATGTATCTTTACAGAAAAGGTTACACACACACAGGAACACACACACATAAAAGGTTACACACACACACACACACAAACATAAGAGGAACACATAATCTCTTCTAAATATACTTTCGAAATTAAAATAGATTGTTTGATGGGGTACTAATATTAGTATAGTGGGTTCACTGTTTCTTTATAGTATGTTTGGAAGCACCACAAGTCATTTATATAAACTACATGAATGGATATTTAAGCTGCCAAATTTCTTCCCTATGCTGCTCCATTAACTGCACTGACGACATATGTGACTGACACATACTGTGGTCCTACAGATGTCTCAAAAGACAAAATTGTACCAGTGGAAACAAAAAAGGCACCCAGTTACAATATGACACATCAGCAAGTTTCATCCATAGAGGCTATGGCAGTTTATATGGTAGTCTGTATAAGATAAATTGCTTTAAACAGATCTAAGTCTACAAGGTATGTTATCCAACCACTTTTTATTTACCAGTCTACTTGGTAGATGAGCAAACTTTATTAGATTTGATTTTAATTCCTTTTATTATGAGTAAAGTTTAAATATTTGAAAAAAGTTTTAGAATTATATGGTTCTTTTTCTGTATACTACCTTCAACTATTTTTGTTCATTAATAGAGTGAAAAATTTTATTTAGGTTATAGAAGTAAAAGTTTCTTTTAGTTTTAGCCTTTATTATACTTATGTTGTTGCTATGTAGCAGCTTTTTATTTAGATGCAACAAAATGTAATCCTTTAAAATTTAAACCTCTGGGCGGAGTGATACTACACTTGATCTTAGCCAAGGTGTTTGCCTTGCACGCAGCCAGCCCAGCTGAGCTGGGTTCGATTCCTCCGCCCCTCTCGGAGAACCCGGCAAGCTACCGAGAGGATGTCACCCGTACGGCAAAGCCTGGCAAGCTCCCCATGATGTATCCAATATGCCAGACACAGTAACAACAAAGTCTCACAATGGAGACGTTACTGGGCTCGCTCAAGCAAATTGATGAACAATGGGAGGACAGTGCTAAGGGCGGAGTGATAGTACAGCAGGGAGGGCATTTGCCGTGCACGTAGCCAACCCAGGTTCAATCCCAGGCATCCCATATGGTCCTCCAAGCACCGCCAGGAAGAATTCCTGAGAGCAGAACCAGATACCTGAGTATCACTGGATGTGACCCAAAAAGCAAATAAAATAAAATAAAAAAATAAAGCCTTAAAATCAATTCATTTTGATATGGGGCTATATAGACATGAGTTTTCATCTCATTTGGAAATCATGTTTAAAAATAATTCCCCCTTAGAGAACAAAAGGGAATGCTCTGCCACGGAGGCAGGGGGGGGATGGGGGGGATGGGGGTGGGAGGGATACTGGGATCCGTGGTGGTGGGAAATGGGCACTGGTGGAGAGATGGGTATTTGATCATTGTATAATTGAAACACAAGCACAAAAATTTGTAAGTCTACAACTGTACCTCATGATGTCTCACTAATAAAAATTTTTTAAAAAATTCTCCCTTATAATCATCCTTTCAATACGGAAGTAATCAGAACTGTTCCAGACACACCAATTAAATAACCCATGTGATGACAGAGATAGTAAAACAGGTTAAGATGCTAGTGTAACATGCAGCAAACTCAGGTTCAATTCAGTATCTGGCATCCCATATGGTCCTCCACTCCCTGCCAGGAGTTATTCCTGAGTATCACCAGATGTGCTCCCCCACCCCCCCCCCCCAAAAAAAAACCCAAAACAAGGCCAGAAACCTTATTCTTTTGAGATCAGAGTGATAGCACAGCAGGCAGGGTGATTGCCTTGCACACAGCTAACACAGGTTTGAACCTCAGCATTCCATAAGGTTCCCCAAACCTGCCAGGAGTTAATTCCTGAGTATAGAGCCCGGTGTAACCCCTGAGTATCACTGGGGGCAGCCTCCCTCAAATAAACAAAGTTACGTTCTTTTTTGGTGGGATGGGGCAGGGACCACAATTGTTGGTCAGTGATCCAGGATGTTCTCAGATATTGAACTAGGTTGAACA